GCTAATTGGGCTCCAAAGAGCTCAGGCAGGGGGATTTCACTCCGGTGCTGACCCCCAGCCAGTGCTGCTGCTCCGGGCTCTGCTGCTGCCAGCTGCAGCTGCTGTGGGGTGAGTGGTGTCTCCCTTCCTGTGGTTGTTGGCTGGGGTTTTTGCTCAGGGCTCCCCGAAATGCCGGTTCCGGGCCGGGTGTGAGGCTGAGCATCCCCTGCGCTCAGGAGAGGGCAGTGTCACACCGAGGAGCTCCTTCCCCATCCCCGCCGGGGAGCGCACGGAGCTGCCACCCCCGCTCCGGAGGGGCTCACAGGGGTTCTGTGCCGGGTGGCTTTAGGAGCCAGGCTCCTCATCCCCCTCCCTCCTTCCCAAAGCAAGTGTTCCCCCTCCGGCTCTGCTCCTGGTGCTTAACAGCCCTTCTCGGGAACATCTGGAGCATGATGCTGGGAAAAGGGATTTAAAAGACTTTATGGTCGCTGCTTTTGCCTGCCAGCCCCTCTATAAACAGCGATTAGATACAGCTACTTCAGTGCACGTCTTGACCTTAAAATAAAAAATTTAGCTGCACACTGGTGTTTGGCTTTGCTGCTTTTTCCTCTTTAGCAAACCACTGTGTTCTCCCCACTTCCTCCAGAAGTGCCCGCAGATACTGGCAGGACAACTGCCTGAATATTTGGTGCAATAGCCTGTCATTGCTCAATAGCCTGACAAACAACAACAACAAGTTTTATGTTTTTGTATGCAATTAAATATTTGTAGAAGATTTCTGCCAAGGAGTGGTTTCAAGGTAAAGAGCGTTCCCCTGAAGGGTGTTCAAACAAGCACCTTCGGGGGTGGCGGTGGGGAAGTTTTTTGTGCCTGTGCCTCCATGCATTCCATGTTTCCACATTTGGAATCCATTCCAGGTTGGGATTGAGCCCTGTCTTTTTTGTCCTCCTGGTCCTTGGGCAGGATTAGTCCTGATGGTGAAAAATGATTCTTTTTGTGACTATTTTTTTTGCATGTGTGACCCTTGATCTGGTTTTATTTCTTTTTTTTTCCCCCTGCTGGATGAAGGGTGAACTGGGGATGGGAGAGGGGGAAGTTGCACCTTTCCTGGGGTGCTGCACAAATCTGGGCACCAGCTCTGTCCCCATCTGTGCAGAGCCCTGCTGGTGGTTAATCTCTTCCTTGGAAAGAGCCTGGACTGGTTTTAATGCAATTCCTTAGTCATGACAAACCTGACTCCTCCTGCCCTCCCTGCACCTCTCTCTGTGCTGGAGCCACGCTTTCCATGAGGAGCTTGGGGTCCAGGCTGCTGGGTCCTGGAGGTCTCGGAGGTGATGGACTGTAAGTTTATTCTCTTCTTGTCTGGGCAAGCTCAGAAGGATCTGTTTCACTTTCAGAGTTACCACGTGGCGCTGTACCAAAGCCGATTTTTATCTCCCACTTTCCCCCTTAGGTATCAGCTTGCCTTTAAATTTATTTATTTTTATTTATTCATTTAAATTCCTGCTGCTTCTCTTCAAATGCTGCTGCAGCTTGTAAAACCTCTTGGTAAACGTCTGGCTCCTGTGTTTTGCTTCCCTTTCCTCCTCGCTGAGGTGAAATGAAACTTGTCCCTCCCCCAGCCCGAGGTGAAGTGCACAGAGCAGAAATATTCTGGTCCTCGGCTGTTTTTAGCTGTGCTGAGTTTCAGGCTCACGTTTGCCCAGGGAAAGCAGCTTGTATCTGACTGAAATAGTCCAAGGTGAAACCCAGAGTTTCCTCTAGTTGGTATTTTTGGGTGTAGCCTTTAAAAAGATGTAATGGACTGATTGTACCCTTCAATGTCCACGTGTTCTCCTGAACCACTCTAGGAGATTATATTTGGGCCACTTAGCTGGTATTGATGAATCTCTTGAGCTGACAGTCATCTAATCGTAAATCAAGTCTAAAATCAAGTCACTGTTCTGCTTTCCTGCTGCAGAATTGCAGCAAAACAAAATGCATTAAATTTTCCTGCCTGGAGCTGGCCCCAGCCCGTGGTGAGCTGCTGGGAATTGGCACCTGAAGGTGACAGGGGATGCTCAGAGTATTCCACAAGATTCTTGGGAAGCAGGGCTAATCCTGAGCAGGGCACTTAAGAGCTTGGAGAGGATTTGAGGCTCAAGTCTGGGCTTGCTGTCCTGCAGAACTGCCCTGGACCTTGCCAGGAGGGAGGGACCTGGCGTGGCCCTTGGGAGGTGTCCCCGTGTGTGTGACCCCATTTCATCCCCGTGAGCGGACTGCAGGGCTCTTGTCTGAGTAGAACCTTGGGGAATGGGGACAAAACTGGCATCTCTATCCCAGTCATGCCTCAGGTCCTCTTGCTGTGGCCAGTGCTTCCCCACTGTGCTGCCAAGGGGCAGGATGGGGCTGGGGGCTTCCCAGTTTATGGCTTAAAGCCAGTCCCTGGGACGGATAGGGAGTGCTTAGGTTTGTTTACAGGGATTTACCACCGTGCTGAGGTCACTCTGTGACACCTGGGGGAGTGTGTTATCTGGATTGGCTTTTATTTCTTTTTTTGCCAAGAGGTAATTAATGCTTTCCTTGGGATTAAAATATTTCCTGCATGTTTCCTGAATGTCCTGCATTCCTTACACCTACAGCTGTTGGTGTAGGGAAGAGTCATCCAAACCCTTGACCTTTCTCAGAGGGGAAAAAAGGCTCTTTTGGAGGAGGTGGGAAGTGTGTGTTCAAATCCCTACTACTCTGAGCAACCTGGGCTAGTGGAAGGTGTCCCTGCCCATGGAAAAAGATGATTTTTAAGACCCATTCCAACCCAAACCGTGATGATTCTGTAATTCTCCTTTCTTGCGTGAAGCAGCCCCATTAAGAAATTCCTTAAGGCTGTCAGGTAGGGAGTGTTTTGTAGGCAGTTTCCTGATCAGCAGTGATTGTTGAAGGTATTGTGGGAATTTTGGTGGCAATCTTGCCTGCTAATCATTCAGGAATGTTGTCATTGAGACTTGAAATTGTCAGTCAATCCTGTTGCAGTTTGAAACCCAGCAAAGAGGCAGCTCCTGTGCCCTGGTCTGGGTGTCCAGGCATGATTTTCTCTATTTCTCTCAAGCTTTTTGGGCTTTCTCCATCCATGGCTGTGGCTGGTTGGTCTTGGAGATCTGCACAGTAATAGTGCCTGAACAGTCCTTGAGATCTCTGCATTTGGGGTATTTGGGAGCCCTGGAATTCATCAAGCCAAGAAGTGAGGTGAGACCTTCTCAAACACCTATTTTTAGATTTAGATTTCACATGCAAATTACATTCATCATCGAGGATTGCTCTGCACTTGGGGCGCTGGGTTTGTAATCCTTGCTTTCCAGCTCTTAGATATCAAAATGCCCCCCAAAAATACAGATATTGCTGTCTCCCTTTTCCCTGTGCCCTGGAGCTGGGGACTGGGAGCTCCCACACCACTTGCTGTGTTGCATTTGATGCTTTGTGAACAGAGAAGGGTGGCAGGCTCTTGTTTTCGGGGTGATTTCCCTTCCTGCATGGGCTTTGGCATCACTTGGAGGTGGCGGGAGGCAGGATCTGCTTTCAGAATGAAGCAGCTCAACTTGTCTTTAGCTGTGAGTTAATCACCCAAACGCAGAGTGCTTGCAGCCCTCATTAAAATCCTGATTTAAAGTGCAAGGTTGACAGCTCGGCTGGAGATACTTTCCCTTATCACGACTGTTTCCTAATCCGTCTCCTCTGTGTAGGAACGTGTTTGTTTTGGGGTTTTTTTGGTTTGGCTGTTGCTCTGGGAGAGCAGTGTGTTAAAGGAACGAGGTGTAAGGCAGCCAGATGTAGGTGTAGGTGTCCAGATGTTCAGGTGGTGGGAAGAGGCGTGCTCTGGTGTGTCTGATGCTGGCAGGGACAAACCTTTGTGCCTCACAAGGTCACTGTGTGGCTGCACGTTCCCGAAACACAGACCCTGCCAGGGCTCCTGGGACAGTTCTGCTTTGCCAGGAGAAATAAAGCTGCTTGTGGGATTAGAGGGATGGAGCTGCTGTCCCTGAAAACACGGGCAGGAGCAGTGTGGGAGGGGATTGGCCTTCCCTGGGTTTGTACCCGGGAAGATTTCAGCTCCAATCTGAGGTACAGGGGGTTAACATGGAGCTCAAGCCTTGTCCTGTGCTTTGCTGGGCCTCAGGAGCTGGGTGGAATCATTCTACAGTGGTTCTGTGAAGGGAATCTCTGCCTTAATGGTGCTGGTACCCTGTCCCCGTGTCACCTGGAGCAGGGGGATGGCTCCTTTGGGTGGTCCCTGCTGGTGAGAGGTGTCAGGAGAAAGGTTGGCTTGCTCATGGCAAGATGGGATTTGACCTGAAAGCCAAGGCTCCTGCTGGGGCTGGTCTTCTTGAAGGATAAACACCCACTGTCACAGGGGGAATGTGACTGGCTGGGCAGGAGGGGAGCCTGGGGAAGCTCTAACCCCGTGTCCAGACTGTTTAGAGCTGCCCTGTAATGAGCAGATACAGATCCACTTCTAACAGCACAAGAAGCTTAAATTTTCGAGTCCTCTGTGTTTCTGAAAGGGTCAGCTCACTCTGTTAAACCCCTTCTGTCATTTAGAGTCCCTAAATCCAAATTTCTGGGGTAATTGGTTGTATCGAACTGTATTGGACCTGTGAGGAAAATCACTTTGCTCTCTTGGCTTCTCCTCTCCCAGCTCAAGGGAAATAATGGCTTTTTCCCCATTTCCCTGAACTTTGCAGCTCATCTGCAGGGTTCCCTGGAGGGACAGAGCTGAAGGACTGGCTTGAAGTCTGCTCTGCCCCTGTCCTGGAGCAGTTTGGGGGCTGGATGTGGAGCTGTGGGGGGAACGCAGGGTGAGCCCTCGAGGTCACGAGCTGGGGCAGATGAGGCCAAAGGAGTCAAACCCCAAAGTGTCTGCTCCAGTTTCTGCACCTTCCCAGGCATTGTGTGCCTCCCCTTATCTGGGCTGATATTTGCAGTGCTGATAAGAGAGGGTCTGTAACAAGTGTGCTGTGCCACAGATAAAACCTGCAGTGCGTAAGAGCTGTTCCAGCTCGGGCTTATCTGCACTATGAAACCTGAATATCAGCAGGGCTTCGGGGATGAGGCTGCCCTGGCTCCCTCAGCACAGAACATTCAACCAGGGATTGTGCTGCGAGTGCTGCTGCTCTGTAAGTCCCTCTCCAATGTGCTTTTATTTTGTTTTATAATTTAAATTTTGGGATCAGAGTTTGTCAACTGGCTGCGTGTGCCTGGTTGTTGTGTGCTCTGTGTGTGGGTAATGAGGTGGTGGCTGCTCTCAACATGGGTTGAACCAGGCTGGAGGTGTTCAGTCCCCAAAAAGAGGTGTAGATGTGGCACTTGGGGACATGGTTTAGTGCTGGACCTGGCAGAGTCAGGTTACTGGTCAGACTTGAAGGTCTCTGAGCTGTTTTCCAAACTTAAGGATGCTGTGAGTTCAATTTAGGGATTCTTGCATCTCTCCAGGCTGCTCTTTGCTCAGAGGCAGAAATCCTGGAGTTTTTGTGCAGCCATGGAACACCAGTGCAGGGAGCAGAGATTTCCTGCCTCGTCTTGGTGCTCCTTCAGGGCTCTGACCTCTGTAAGGGTGGGAGAACATTGGAAGTGATGGAGAATTGCTTGGCCTTGGGCACTTCCAGGGATCCAGGGGCAGCCACAGCTGCTCTGGGCACCCTGTGCCAGGGCTTCCCCACCCTTCCAGGGAGCAATCCTTCCCAATATCCCATCCATCCCTACCCTCTGGCAGTGGGAAGCCATTCCCTGTGTCCTGTCCCTCTCAAAGCCACGCTTTAGTCTGGCTGAGCTGGGCTTAATCTGAAGAAAATCAGCCCTGGCTGTGCTGCAGGTTGGAGGAGATGGGCTGGGAGAAAAGTGGGAGCAAATGCTGGTTGCTGTTCCCTGCTGCTGTGCCCCAAGGTCAGCCTGACCGTGGAGCTCCCAGGTTGTTCCCAATGTTTCCAGGGAGCAGCTGCTCAGCTGTGTGAGCAGCTAATGGGGTTTATCAGCCTCCGGTGCTTCTGCCTGGGCTTTGTCAGAACAACCTAATCCCAGAGAGCCAGAGCTAAAATAAATGGGAATAGGAGTTCCTGGGGCCCTGCAATTCCAGTGCCCTGTGTAGCAAAGCCATCTGATTTCTCCCAGAGTTGATATGCTGATTGTTATATATGAATTGAGTGTAAAGCTGGGGAGAAAGAACATCCTTGGTGCTTCTTACAGCTCCAACCCTGCAGGCTTGAGGCGCTTGTCAGAGTTCTCTGGTTTAAAAATCACAGTCAGGAAACACAAACCAGCCTTTGGAGGGAAGGGCTTGCAGTGACTCCAAACCTCCCTCTAACAGGGAGAGCTGCAAACTGCATCCCTGACCCAATTCCTCCTTTTTGGAAGGGGTTTTCTGCTTCAAGCTGGAAGTGAAATACAATTGTGGGGCAGCCTGGAGTCTGTCTTCTCCTGCTTGCTTTTGTCTGGCCACCCTAAAACTTACTGTTGTGTTTCAGCACTGCTTATGAGCTATTTTGTCTCCAGATTGGCCACATTTGGTGGCTGATCCCATATGCTTGATTCTGAAAGGCTGTTACATTTTTTTTAAAAATATTGTTTTGTTTTGGGTTTTTTTCTGTGAAGGAAAGGTATGAAATAAATACTGCCTAAAAGGCTTGTGGCAGTCAGCTCTACTGAGGCAGCTCTTGGACAGGGCTGTGAGGAAAACCCTGTTCTGTCTCATGCCCCATCAGGTTTAATGCTTGTTAAATGGCAGAGCTGTCGAGAACAAGCTCTGGGCTGAGGCACTGGAGCCGGTATTAAAAAAATAAATATTGCTGCAAGCGGCTGAGCTTGGATGTAAATTGTGCTGTGAGTGGATACACAGGGATTACTGAGGTGTCTGGATTCCCCCCAGGGCTCACTGCCAGGTGGGAGCCTTGGGAATTTGGGAAGGCAGCCTATGGGGAAAGTCCTGTGTCCCAGCAGTAATAAATCCTCTCCCTACCATGCAGCATGAGGGCTGTATTTAAATATTTTTCTTGCTCAGCTGCACAGGCTGATCTTTTCATTTTGCCCATCATTTACAATGTGACAGAAAAGAAAAAAAAAAAAAAAGAAAAGGGTTTGCCCCTTGTCTGTCTTTATAGAACTGTAAAACAATGAAAAATCTAATGAAGACCTGTCTGCCATGGTCATCCTGGAGCTCTGAGGGCTTGGGTCTTGCCTGTGCCATCTCCCTCCTGTTTCTCCATGGGAACAGGGAAGGACTGAGCTTTTTATCCTGCCTTTCAAATGGAAAAACACTTGAGCACCACAAAGAAGTAATTTTTTGGTTATTTGTCCTACAATAATGTGACATAACTTAGGATGATGCTGTGATGATGACTCTGAAAGGAAAGATGTCAGATACTGAAAAGATTTGGGATCATCCCCCTTTTTCTTGCAGACACCAGTGGTTTTGGCTGAGAAAATAGGTGTATTTTCCAGTGACTGCAAAATAAAGGATGTGGCACTGCCTCAGTGGGGCAAGATTGAGGGCATGAACACTTGGATACTGTAGAAAGGCAGACAAAGGAGATTGATTTTTCTTTCTTCCTTGGGGGTTGTTGAGCCTTGTGAGGTGGGAGAGAGGATCTGGAAAATGCTGGGTGGGAGCCTTTGCCTGGCTGCACCATTTTACTGCATAATTTTTGCTCTGTTTTAATTGTAACCTCAGCTTAATGTCAGTCTTTGCCATGAGCAGTGGCACAGGCCCACTGAGGAAATGGAATGGGACAATGGAATGGGAATCTGTGGTCGATTTTCTCCTTCCCTTTTCCTTTCTGGCAGGTTTTTCTCTGGTGCAAAAGCCAAAGGATGAACCCTTGTTTTGTGAGTATTTTATTATTTATTTCCCTGCCGTGATGGATGTTAAGCAGGTACCAGAAATACCTTCAGCTTTGGACACAACCTGCCCAAAACAGCTCTGGGAGCTCTGCAGGGGGAGGTGTTTGGCAAAGAGCTCTGCCCAGTTTAACCTGAACCAACAATCCCAGCTCAGGGAGCATCTTTGGGACCACTGGGATGTGAAGGTGGCGATGGGAAAATTCTCCTGCTGCTGCGGGGGAGTGCTTCACCACCTCGTGGGATGCTCACCTGGGCTGTTTTGCAGCTAAAACCCATCCCCTGAGCGTTGTTTTTATTCACCCTGGTGGCTGAGTGCACCTTGGTGTTCTGGGGTTGGCCTGGGAATGTAACAGAGCTCTCCAAAGCCCCTCAGTTTCCTGCTTGTAGTGACTGGGTGGTGTGGAGGAGGCAGGGATCCCATGGATAAATGGCATAGGGGAAAAAATCCCAGTCTTATGGAGCTGGGTAGAGGTGTCTGTGCTATTTTTGGGCACTTTTCCCTGAGAGCCATTGGCACGTGGAGGTGTCTGGCAGCTGAAGCCGCCTCTGCTGCTCCCCCAGCCCTGGTTCCCAGAGACTGGGGGTGGCTCTGAGTGATTTGGGAGGGAGGGCAGCAGGGAATGTGTTGGCTCCTTGCTTTCCATATGGAAGTGGCACTTTCCCCTGAGGGGGTGGCAGTGAGGGGGGATGCTGAGCACGGGAGATCTGCTTGTTCACAGGAATCCCCTCCCTCTGGGGGTGGAACAGCACGGGGGCTGCTGCCAACGGCGTCACTTGGCTTTCTGAAATATTGTTGGCAAAAATGTGCCTTTTCAGACTGAACACGGGTCTCCTTAGGACAGCCTATGAGCTGTTATGGGGAAGAAAAAAACCCCAGAATGAAGTGAAAACTGGTTTGTCAGGAGAGAGTTGGAGGCTGCTCTGTGTCCCCCTCACCCTGGCCAAGGCTGGTGCAGTCCCTGAGGGGATACCCGGTGTCCCCATGGAGCATTCAGCCCATCCAGACTTAAAGGTGAGAATAAAGTCAATTTTCTCTTGAGATGTCATCTCCCAAAGGGCTTCCCTCTGGTGTGAGCTTATTTGCTGCCAGGCTGGGGACAGCAGTGACAGAACTGTGTGTCACTCAGGTTTATTGTTGTTCTGGCAGTACAGGACCTTGCACTGCTGGCCCAGCAAGATCCTGACCTCAGCCCTGCCCTCTGGCAGTGGGAAGCCATTCCCTGTGTCCTGTCCCTCCAGGCCTTGTCCCCAGTCCCTCTCCAGCTCTCCTGGAGCCCCTTCAGGCCCTGCAAGGGGCTCTGAGCTCTCCCTGGAGCCTTCTCCTCTCCAGGTGAGCACCCCCAGCTCTCCCAGCCTGGCTCCAGAGCAGAGGTGAGGATTCTGCCCAGCCCACAGGCAGTGTATGGATGGGTGGCTGCCCCAGTGGGGCTGCTGACAGCATTTCTAGAGATGTCAGTGGTTATTTGGGCTCTGAAAGACATGAGAGTGCAGCAGAGCTTCCCACCCAGCGTCTGAGGAAGGTGCTGTGACGGTGGCATGTCACAGCTGAGCTGTCACCCAGCGCAGTGACTCTGCAGGGAGCCCTTGACCTGCTGCTGGTTTTGGCCATGGGTGAGCTTGGCTGTCCGTGTTTATCCAGCACAAATGGATTTGTCACCCAAGCGCTTGATCCCGCTCGTCATTCGTGTCGCTGGAGCAAATCCTGCTCCTGATTCCCTGCCTGCCCACCTGCTCTGTGCTGCTGGGCTTGCTCTGCTCCCCCAGCTCACCAGCACTTCATGAAACCTCTCTGCTTCCAGAAATACAGGTAGTCCTTGAGTCCTTCTCATCCTGTTTCTTGCTGGGTGCAAAGATGATGCTGCTGTGGCATTTGCTCTCCTCTCCTGCTGTTGCACCTCTTGACAGGTTTTGCTTTTTTTAACAGTTTAATGTAGAACAAGCTCTGAATTAAATTGTGTGGGTGGGATGCTTCTCTGACTCTGCTGCAACTTGTGGAACTTCCACGTGGCAAAAAATGGTTTTGGAAAGAGCTGTCTCCCGAGTTTTTCCTGTCACGGTTGTGTTTTCTCCCTACTCCCGACTCCCCGCTTACCGATGCTGTGCACAGCACCGAAAAAGCACCAAGACCCTGCCCTGCACCCAGCCCAGGATAAGCCCTGAGCAGAGCAGGCACTAATTCTGGCATCACACAGCTCCCTGCTCCTGCTGTGGGAGAGCTGAGCTGGGAGCCATGGCAGCGACGTCGCAGGTACTCAGCACAGCAACCTCGGAGGAATCTTTATCGTGGTGGAAACAGATGGAGTTTGACTTGGTGTCAGTTCTGAGCCCAGAATAACTCAATTTTACGGCAGGGGAAGTGGAAAGGTACAATGCTGCCACAGCCTGGATGCTGACATGCAGGAACTGAGCTCTGTGGGGAGCCATGCAGGGATTATTTCCACTTTGGGGAAGCCTGGCCATGGGAGAAAACCTTACTTGGATGTGTTTTGTCCAGGCTTTTCCTTGGGAAGGTGCTAAGCAAAGTGTGCTGAAGCATCTTCTGGTGACAGATCCCACAGCTGGAGGCTCCTCTGGGAGAAGGGATGTCCCAGCTCACGGTGATTTGGGATCTGAGGGGTAAGAACCTGAAGAGGTTCCCTCTTCCCCTGTCACCTGCTCACCCTCCATACACAACACTTGGCTTTAAAACTTGCCTCCCTCAAACCTGTCCCAAAGCCTCCATTTTATTTATCAACTGGTTTAATTCCTTTTGGGATGGGATCAGGTTCAGCACTGTTGTCCCTGAGCTGGGTGTGTCTGATTCACAGCCCTTTTCTTGGGGGTCCAAGCTCTCCCTGGCGTGGGAGCAAATCTTGAACTGCAGAATGGTTTGGGTTGGAAGGGACCTTAAGGATGAGCTCACCTCATCCTCCAGGCTGCTCCAAGCCCCAGTGTCCAACCTGGCCTTGGGCACTGCCAGGGATCCAGGGGCAGCCACAGCTGCTCTGGGCACCCTGTGCCAGGGCCTGCCCACCCTGCCAGGGAACAATTCCTGCCCAATATCCCATCCATCCCTGCCCTCTGGGAAGCCATTCCCTGTGTCCTGTCCCTCCAGGCCTTGTCCCCAGTCCCTCTCCAGCTCTCCTGGAGCCCCTTCAGGCCCTGCAAGGGGCTCTGAGCTCTGAAGATCTGTGAGAGCTGTGGACTGGGCCTTCTTGTGCAATAATTAAAGGTTAATCCCAGCAGTCCTTGCTAATGTTTGCCTTTTGCTTTAGAGGAAGGAAATGGGATCCTGATCTTTAGCTCAAATGCCATCTGTACTTCCACTAACAAAAGTAAGTTTGTGCTGTGCTTAATGAAGCCTAGGAAGATGTCTCAGATAGTGGACAGAAGATATCTGCCCTTTAAAGACTTCTGCTTCCCAAAGGGCTTCCTATTACGGATAAGGCAGTGAGGCCTTGTTGTTTTGGGGGTGTTTTTTGTTTGGTTGGTGTTTTTAACTGTGAGTTTTCAGAGGAGAAAGCCCCCTTGGAAAGCAGATGGCAGAGGTGAATCACGTGCTGCTTCCCTTAACGTTTGGGTGGAAAATGTTCCCTGGAAACTGGGCTCTGGCTCTCTGGAGATGCCAATGGAAAGCTGCAGGGAAAGAAGTGGGGGAGGATTTCAGAAAAGTGATTTTGCTTTTCAGAGTCTGGCTGTCAGCCTCCCTAAGCCGAGACTTGGGCACCAGAGGTGGGAATTGAGCTGGGTGACATCTGTGCTTCAGGCACGTCCCTCTCCTCGATGGGCTGGGACAGCCCAGATAAATCCCCTCAGATGGTGCCTGTTTGGAGGAAAGCCCCGTTCCAGAGCAGCTCTGGGAACCTGTCAGGAGATGTCATTAAGGAAGGAGTGGGAACTGCCCTGGTACTGCTGCTGTGGCATTGAAACACTTGGGTATTTGTAGGGAAAGGTTTGAAGATAATGGGGCTTCTTGATGATAAACAAATGTGTCCACTTCACTTTGGGAAGAGGTGCAAAGATTTGATGTTTTCAGCACTGAAAAAAAGCAGGTGAAGAAGAACTTGGAGGCTCATGCAGCATCTGAGATCCATTAAAATCCTCTACTTTGAGGCACTGGGAATCAGGGAAGCACAGACTGGTTTAGGTGGGAGGGACCTTGAGGATCATCCAGCGTCCCACCCCCTTCCTCTAGTGCCACACCTTCCTCTGGTCCAGGTTAGTCTGAGCCCTGTCCAGCCTGGCCTTGGACACTGCCAGGGATGGGACATGGGTGACCCAAGGTAGGGAAGCCGCTCTGCTGGATGGGATGGGGCAGAGCACGGAGCTGAGATGCAGCAGCGAAGGGCTGGGGAGCTTTGGGATTAGCACTAAATCCTGTGCACAGAAGGAAGCCTTGAGGCTCCAGATGTCTCAGATGTCTGGCATTTGAAGGACTTCTCCTCTGGTAGGGTTGTTTTGTTTTTTTTTGCTGAGCCTGGCAGTGAAAATCCCCAGAATGTCACAGTTATTGCATGAGACTTATGCACTAATAGGATTTAATTTCTGCAGAGCTTCTGATGAGAGGAAGAAGTACCTCAAAGGAGCACAGGTATTTTGGGAAAGGCTTTAGTGAAATAAAATTCAGCTGCAATCATGTTACAGCAGGGAAGCCTGGAGATAAGTGAGATGGAGTTTTATCACTTCCACATAGGGTGTGCACAGCCCTATCTCTCCCACCTGTCCCTCAGGTGTTCCCTGCTGGAAAGAGAGGGATTATCTCAGTGAAAGGGCTGTGTTGGGTCTGCTTGCTTTCCCATGGAAGCTCCTGCAAGGCTTGCAGAGGTCCTGCTATCCCAGGGTTTGAGTTCCTGACCCGGTGGGGAGCTGCTGCGTTTTGCTCTCGTTTCCTTGCGCTGTCAGGGCTCCTGGGGAGCTGGAGTGAGGAGCCAGGCTCAGCCTTTGCAGACTGCAGGGGAAGGGGAGTGTGGAAGGTTTCCTTCCTGGGGAAAAGGGCTGGTGATGCAGCTTGTGGGGGGGAAAAATTCAAACAAAGCAGCTTCTCTTCCCTTCTGGCTCAGAGTGGGGTGTGATGTCAAGGTGGAGCTGAAGACATTCCCAAAGACTATGGGAATGTTTTTTCTTTCCTTTTTTTGAGGGATGGGGGAATTGGTTTATATGCTTTTCTGTTAAATCTCTCAAACAATGCTGCTTCCCCTTCCTTGGAGCGATTGTTCCCCATGGCTGACTCTCTTCCTTCCCCTTCCTCCCCATCGTGGGAAGCGCTCTCCTGATGATGATGGATGGGCTTGGATTTAGTCTCTGCTTTACCTTCCTTTGTCCTGCTCAGCTCTCTTATTTTTCTTTGTAATTTCTGCCCAGATCCTCATCACAGGGTGGCCAAACACAGATTTTTCAGTGCTGAGAGGAGAGAATTAAGTGTCAGAATTAAGTGTCAGAGCAGCTTCTACCTCCACCCCTGAACTTGGCAGGGCTGGGTTAATGACTCCATGGTCCTGGAGGGCTTTTCCAGCCTCAGTAATTCCTGATTCTACTGCCTGAGACATGGGACTGCAAAGTCTAACAGATTTTCTAGGTTCATCCCTTGAGTTCATGTAGTCTCCTCTTGGGAGAGCCAGTTTCTTCCTTTGGGGGAAAAAAGAATGGTCTTTTTGGGACCAGCCTAATCTCAGACCTTTCCAAATGCATCCATTTTGAGAGACAAGATTTATTTTTTTAACTGATTTTGTTTTTCAGTGCCCAAGAATCCCAAGACAGTGGTTGGGCCCTGGCACAGGTTGTGCAAGGCAGCTGTGGCTGCCCCATTCCTGGAAGTTGTCAAGAGATGAGATTGGATTTGTCCTTCAGGAGCATTTCCAAGGCAAATCTGTCATAAGCCAGGCCTAGACAGAGCAGCACGGGAGGAGATGCTGATCTCTCCACTTAGACTTCACTGTGGGCACGTGAGTTAAGCTGGAACTGAACAATTCCATGTGCCACATTCAGGAATAATAAACCATTGGCTATTCCAAGCTTGAGGATGTGACCACCTGATTCTGCAGTAACTCCACTGTGACCTGTTTCGTTTGGAAAGTATCCCCCAGACTCCTGATAAGAACTTCCAGGTCCTTCCAGCTTTTATCAGAGGAGCTTCCTGCAGGGAGCTGTTGGTGATTTGTCCCAGGGAGGAAGAGGAAAGGCAGGTGGGTGAATATTCCATGACAGACCCCAGGATGGCTCATGGAGTGAACTGGGAAAGGCAGCAGCAGGCTGGGGGGTTCTGCCCTCTCTTGTTAGGTGGAAATCACATGGTCTGATGAAACAACAGTGGATGAGAACCTGCTTTAGGGGATTGTATCATGCTTCAGCAGCGCCAGGACAGTCATCCTGTTGATAAGGCCAACACCCACTGTAAACACAGTAATTAGCAGTCTGAGCTTGTGAGAGGTGCTCTGATGGAAACCTGGGGCTTCAGGATAAAATAGAAACCTGTGGTGGATATTGAAAAGCCTCATTCCCTTGGGCAGTGGTAAAGGACCTTCTTGCATGGAAGTGTGAAAAAAACCTCCTTTCAGTGTCCTTTTCACAGCCCGTGGTTAGGAATTGCAGGTAATCCCCTGGAATGATTATTGACTGGAGAGCTGCCTGGAAGTGCTGCTGTTTGTTGGCTTGACAGATGATAAAACCCTAACCCAGTGTGATCTGAGTGTCTGTCCTTGCTGCATCCCAGTCACCGAGGCTTCACCTGCATCTGGTCCAAAGCCAGCTGTGTTTTTAGCCAGTTTTTCTGTGGGCAGTGTCCAAACTGTTTGGTGCTGTCCCAGGGGAGTGGCTGCACAAAGGACTTTCTGAGAGCTCATTGAGGGAAGCACAGGAGTGATGGGGATGCTGTGGGAGCTGGGGTTGGTGGTGGCTGCTGCAGCAGAACTGTTGGGTTGTTCTCTGTGATTCCTTGTAGTTGCTTTTATTTAAGAAAATAAATAAAGAAATTGCTTCTGGCAGCAGTTTTAAAGGAGATCTGGAGGAAATGGCGAGTCTCTCTTTAGCAGGGGGCCAGACACTGAAGTGTTGACCTGCTGCTGGCCGGGCAGAGGATCTGGGGCTCCTGGGTTCTGGGAAGCAGGGTGAGATTCCTCCTTCCCTCCTCTTGGGAGACCATAACTCCCATAGTGATGTTCTCTGCGGCATTCCCCGCTGGAGGAAGACAGCAGAAAGTTGGGACAAGTCCTGTGGGTACTCACCAAAGCACTGCACCTACACATCAGCTTTTGTCTAAGGGACAGCATCACTGGAAATGTCCAGAAATGGCAAATAAATCTGCAGGCCAAGCTCCTGTGTAACCTGCAGCTGCCCTTGGATTGCTGGAGCCTGCTTTGGATCAGCAGCGCTCCACAAATCCAGCAGTGCTGATTTTCTGCAGCGCTGATGGTCTTCCTTCCTTTCCAGTATCCTCAAAAGGAAACAAATCCATTGGTTTGGGTGCCAGAACTCGCTGCTGACTCTGCAGAAGTTGTTTGCGTCCTTTTTATTTTCTTGCCCCAGAGTTTGGGCCCCAGGGAAGGGACTTTTGGAAAGTCTTCAATGGAGAGCTGATCCAGAGGCGTAGGAAAGAGCAGGGGAACAGAGTTAACAGATAAACATCTCCAGCCTCCAGTTGCTTGGAGAGCTCTTGCATTGGCTGTGTGATACTCGCGTCCCAAGCATAACAAGTGACAGGATGGGAGGAAGTGCTGCGGGAAGTTTAGGTTGGATGTGAGGAAAAGTTTCTTTCCCCAGAGGAGTGGTCAGGCTGAATAGGGAAATGATGGAATCAGCCCGTGGTAGCGCTCAGAAAGGTGTGTGGATTTGTGGGGGACAGCAGCGTGGTGCTGGTTAAGAGTTGGACTCAGTCTCTTTGAGGTCTTTCCCAACCTTAGTGATTTTGTTTAAACACAACTTTTTTTCTTATTTTTGCAGTAAGTCTTAGTGGAATTCGCTCTTAAAAGCAGATACCCATTAAAAATCTAGGAAACTTGGTCTTTGTAAGTGAGGAATCATTTAGGCTTTAAAAGATTGTGATTTGTTATCAAGATTTGTGCCTTGGAGCTGTGTGGTGGCTGTGTTGGACCTGCTGCTTTTGGTGGAACCCTGTGAAGACTCCAGGAGGCTCCTTGTCCCTGGTGGGGAGTTTTTGGCTCCTGTCCTGTCCCTGATTTGGAGGTGCCAGCCTTAGCTCGGTGCTGCAGGCGGCTGTGGGGGAACCTTTGTGTCATATCCTTGGGATGGGGACTGGATCCAGGGCTGGGGCAGGTCCATGGGGCTGCAGTGACTGTGGTCCAGCTCCTGATTGTTCAGGCTGCCCTTGGTCCTCTGGATAACCCCCTTTAATCCCGGGATTTACCCAACATCAGTGTCACCAGAGAGCGTCTGAGCGGAGATTAGCCACGGGTGAATGCGGCCGCCCGCGAGAGCACCGAGGGAAAACTGAAATCTTTCTGTTGCTAAAAACGACCCCCAAGTCCTTACTCTGTGTTTTGATTTTAAATTTTTATTGTTTTTTTTAAGCTTTGTGTTCTGAAGCAGTGACTGCAGTTCCTAGAGAGCTGCCCAAGGGCTGTAGTGCCACGGGTACCTCATGCAAAGGCTCCTTCATCCTGAATCAGAAGCATCTCTGTTCTCTGCTGTCCCCTGCACGAGCCAGGTGCCCTGGAGGTGACAGCTGGGGCTGGGCTGGCTGTGTGCTGCTCTGGCTGATCCTTTGTGGGAGATGAGCAGCAGGCTGACCTGACTGAGGGGAGCTTGGTAGCCTGTGGGGTGTATCCTCGTGGAGGGGGAGTCATGGAGAAAACAGTTTTTAAACTGAACTTTTGAAGGGGAGGGGTGCTTTAGAAACCCACAGGTCTGAAATGCTCACAGAACAGCAGAATATGCTGAGCTGGGAGGGACTCATTGTCTGAGCTGAGCTCAGACAGGCTTGGCTGTGATGGCTTGTGCTGGCACAAGTTGGACAGTGTGGGACAGTGGGAGGTGTCCCTGCCCGTGGCAAGGGTGGGACTGGATGAGCTTTGAGGTCCTTTCCAACCCCAGCCATTCCATTATTCTAAGTCATTTTGCCCCTGAGACCTTCCCACCCCTCTGGGATGGGTGACAGGGACACCCCACGTGGAATACTCAACCCATCACCACCAGCTCTCCCTGCTGAAGGAAATCTGCTCAGAGCAAAAGGCAGCCTGGGAATCCTGACTGAAAGAGGATGTGAAGCAGTGTCCCTGCCTCCTGTTATGAATTTAACATGAAACAGGGCTTTTCACATGTTTTAAAAGGCTGGGAGGAAAGCTGATGGGAGGACATTTGTTTGTGTTTCCTTTGGTGGAAAGGCTCAGTGTGTTTGTAAAACCACACATTGGTTTGCTCACTACCAGAATTGGGCATCTCCTGGACTGGTGGGATCTGCTCTCCTCTGAGGAATTTAGATTCAAAACCAAAGAGAAGTTTGGGAAGATTACAGCAAGACAAGACGTTTAACGAGTGTTTGTCAGGAAAAACTTCTTTGGTGCCCTTGTCTCTGTGTTATCTCATTGTGCCTCTGGAGGAATGCTGTTCCTGGAGCAGAAGGTCACAGTGACACGTGTCAAGCTGCCAGTGTTGGCTGCCTTGCACACACACTGGCAGCCCTTGTAGGTTGTTGCCTGAGGGGTCCTTTTTGTTGGATATCTCACTGACAGCAGCAGGGCTCTTGTGGCACAGGAAATTTGGAAAGCGTTGAAGGATTTTGTGGAGACTTCTGTACCACATTCTGTGATTCTGTGGACTAGAATTGGTGGATCAGGGATCAGAGAAGAATAGAATACTTTAGGTTGGGAGGGACTTTAAAGCTCATCCAGTGACACCCCTGCCATGGCAGGGACACATTCCAGGTTGCTCCAAGCCCTGTCCAGCCTGGCCTTGGACACTTCCAGGGATCCAGGGGCAGCCACAGCTGCTCTGGACACCCTGTGCCAGGGCCTCACTATCCTCACAGGGAACAATTCCTGCCCAATATCCCATCCATCCCTGCCCTCTGGCAGTGGGAAGCCATTCCCTGTGTCCTGTCCCTCCAGGCCTTGTCCCCAGTCCCTCTCCAGCTCTCCTGGAGCCCCTTCAGGCCCTGCAAGGGGCTCTGAGCTCTCCCTGGAGCCTTCTCCTCTCCAGGTGAGCACCCCCAGCTCTCCCAGCCTGGCTCCAGAGCAGAGGGGCTCCAGCCCTGGAGCAGCTCTGGGGCCTCCTCTGGACTCTCTGCAGCAGCTCCAGCTCCTTGTGCTGCTGGCCCCAGGGCTGGGGCAGCTCTGCAGGTGGGGTCACACCTCAGCTCAGGGTTCTGGGTGCCAGTGCATGAGTCAGGTCATGTCCTGCTGCTCACCCACCAGTACTCCCAGCTCCTGCCTTGCAGGGCTCTGCCCATGTGTCCATCCCCCAGCACCTTGAGCTGTGTCCCTCCTGATACTCCTTGGGTGTTTGTGCTGACACAGGGCTTTGGCTTGTTCTTGG